TCAGTTTGTTGGAATGTTATATATTCTTATCCTTACAAGAATAGACTTTCCCTCAGATTTGACTTTTCCTCGTTGAAACTTATTAAAATTTCAATAAATATTATTATATTTTTAATTTGAAAGTTTAAAAGTCTAATGAATTTAACGATAGAATTATAGAGTTTGAATTATTTTTTAACTTTAAATTTTGAATCATTTTCCTTCTGATAAAACTTAGGTATATATGTTTGGTCTGTGATTGGTCTTTTACTTTTTTAACTTCATTTTCCCCCCTACTTTCTACTTTTAAAAAATGCACACATCTGACCTCCCAACAACAATGCCAAACAGGTTAAATGACCACTCGGTCATATAATTAATCTAAAATTCATGTGCACTAACAAAATGTAACATCATATTTTATTAGGAAAAATTACATAAATACACATCATATTTTACCACGATCTCTAAAATTGCTTACCATTTAAAAATTCCCTTTCGGATACATCACTTTCATGTCGTTGATACATCCCTATCCCCCTCTCGAATACATCCCTCCCCTCTCTGATACATCTCTCATCTATGTATTCGGATGTCTGCTGATGTATTCAGAAGTCTAGTGATGTATCGGGATGCCATATTCCCTCTCTGATACATCCCCATGTCTCTGATACATCCCTCATCTATGTATTCAGATGTCCACTGATGTGTCCGGATGTTGATGTATCGGGATGTCCTATCTCCTCGCGGATACATTCCTCCCCTCTCGGATATATCCCTCACTTATGTATCCAGAAGTCCAGTGATGTATTCAGAAGTATGACCACTCAACCATGTTTTTTTTATTCCACTCGGTGTCCAGAGATTGTATTGAAGCCCCGACTAAATTCTAATCGCGAACTGTAGGGCTCATTTGCAGATGACACTTCTAATAAGATTTTCTCCATACTCAGAAATCGAACACAAAATCTCTGATTAAGGATAGAGCAGTATCACCAATGCACCACTGATGGTCGTTACAATTTAACCATGTTACTAAACCAACATTGACCTAATTTACTATATTATAGAAGAGTCTAGGAATGACTACCAATGGTCCAATAAGATCACTACTAATGTCCAATATATTTATAAAATATATAAGTGGGCCCCACCACCTTCCACTTAAATACTACATATTATATATTATTAATTACTATACTATAAATCACAACTAATATCCAATATATTTATCAAACTATATAAGTGGGCCCCACCACCTTCCACTTAAATACTACATATTATATATTAATTACTATACTATAAATGATTTAAATACTCCATATTATCTATTACAATAATTAACAATTATTTGACACTTTAAATTCTATCAATGCCATATAAATTAGGATAAAAAACCTAACATATAATATTTAAATATATTTAAAAATAATATAAGTAATACTATACATTACAATAATTAACAGCTTAATTATTTAAAATTTATATAAAAAATTTAATTGACTCTCTAAATTCTATTGGTACCACATAAAATGGATTATATGATAAACATATATTGTTTGAAATTGACGAAAAAGAAACAATAAATTACAATAATTAATAAAAAAAATAGTCGACGAAATTGATGAAAAACAAATTATAAATTACAATAATTAACAAAATAAATCTCTCGACTCCAACAAATCTATCAATTAATGCCACATAAATTGGGACATGGCAAATAACATATATTATTTAAAAATTAGGTTCAAAATGTACTATAAAATACAATAATTATGAACTTAATATATTAAAGAGACATATAAAAAAAGGTTAATATTTGAAATTTTGCATCTGCCACATAAATTAGAACAAATAGAGTAATAAATATTATTTTCAAAATTATGTTAAAAAAAGTACTACAAATCACAATAGCTAACAATTTAAAATATTTTTAAAATCATATAAAAATTTCAATAACTTCTCAAATTCCATAATATGACATAAATTTTAAAAAAAAGTGTTATAAATCATAATAAATAGTACAATATTTCAACTACTTTAAAAGTATTATAAATTGTAATAAATAATACAACAATTTAAATTACTTAAAATTTAACGACTTAAAAATATTTTTTTAAATGTATTAAAATTTTGGTTAATTGTCAAAACTTTACATGTGCCACATAAATTGGGAATGGAGAGTCACACATATTTTTTTTTTAAAATTACATTAAAAGTATTCTATCAATTAACAACATATATTGTTTAAAATTGACGGAAAAAAAAACTATAAATTACAATAATTAACAAAATAAATCTCTCGACTCCAACAAATCTATCAATTAATGCCACATAAATTGGGACATGGTAAATAACATATATTATTAAAAAATTAGGTTCAAAATGTACTATAAAATACAATAATTAACAACTTAATATATTAAAGAGACATATAAAAAATGGTTAATATTTGAAATTCTGCGTGTGCCACATAAATTAGAACAAACAGAGTAATAAATATTATTTTCAAAATTATGTTAAAAAAAAGTACTACAAATCACAATAGCTAAAAATTTAAAATATTTTTAAAATCATATAAAAATTTCAATAACTTCTCAAATTCCATAATATGACATAAATTAAAATAAAAAAATAATATATATTCACGGGGTCCTATATCTAGTATCATTAAATATGGAGAATGACCACTCAGTCATGGAACTAACTAAAAAATTATGAGCACTACTAATTACTGAAATGTCGCGTCATATATTTTATTATAGAAATTAAAGAGAATGACCATTCAATTATGTTACTAACCAAAATTGACCTAATTATCATTAAATATGGAGAATGGCCACTCAACCATGTAACTAGCTGAAAATTGGCCACATTCAACGGTTTTTTCCCAAGTGCTTACTCATTAATTATATAGATTTCATAATATTTTTTATATATCTATATAGGGTGTACCTAATTGAACTGAAAATCGAATCACACGAGTCAACTTGAAAAAAATAATCTAACTAGTGGTTTAGTTTAACTTGGTTTGATATTGAAAAAAATAATCTAACTATACTTGGGTTGATTTGGATTTAACTAAAAAAAACAACTCGAGACCAAACAACCCGACACTATATAGATAAATTAAAAAATTTTATACATAAAAATATTTACTTTGATATAATTTCTAAATACTTTTTATACAAGATTTATACATTATGTAAGTGTGTAATTTTATCGTGTGTATAAGTACTGTTGCAGAAAAAAAGAGCTATGAGAGTGTATATTTTTATAAAGTCCCTAATATTTATTCGCGCTGGGCATTTACACTAAATTAATGTAACTTAAAATAATTAAGTAATACTTTGGATTAATCATGGATATTCATACACATGATATGTATTTATAAATTTGATATTCACATCAATATAAATATATTTTTATCATAGTTGAATGATTTTTGGAATAATGAACTCATTTATTTCCAAAAAATATTAGTATTTTGAATATTAAATAAATAAATAAAAAAGCTCTCCACATTTGTGGTTCTTTTGTTTTTTATTTTTATTTTTCAAATAATTTAGAGATTTGCCAAGTTAGTCTAATTCATGTTGTTTATATGGTAAACTAAACTGTTTAGTTTTTAATTTTTAACTTATATATGGTGATAATTTAAAGAAAATTTTAAATCGTGAATATATTTAATAATATAAAGAAATCTTAACAGTGTAATTTTTTTTTGATTTTCTATTCGATGTTTGTAGTCTACATTAAAGCTTCGACTAAATTCAAATCGCGCACTGCAGGACCTATTGGAGGGTGACGTTCGTTAATATATTTTAACTTGGCATAGCATGTTATTATGTTTTTATTCTCCAAATTAAATTTACAAGATAATCATCTGTCCACGTACTAACATCAGTTTGTCCTTTTGTAGAGGCAAGAGTCCCTTCACCATTTTAATTCTTTTATATTCTCATTGGCCACTCCCTTTTACTCATTATTTTAAAAAAGACAATTAATATATTTATTCCATCTGTTAAAATAATTATATTTATTAGTTAAATGTATAATTTTTTTTTGTATGTATATCTTATTTGTATTAATGAGCTCCTCAACATTCTCGCTCCTAATATATAGTAAATCAGGTGTTTATAAATTTCAAGAGCAACCTCAAATAAAATTATAATAAATAAATTTACAACAAATATTCAATAATATTTTAATCATCTCTATCTTAATTTATATAGAAACTGATTTTCGAACATTAAATATTTTCAATTTTTAATGTAATTTAGATATATTAAAATAAATTTATATTATTATAAATGACAATAACAAAAAGTTAAAATATTTAAAATAATAAAAAAATGACACCTAAATTAGAACGGAGAAAACAATATATCGAACAATACATTCGGCCCCGCCCACCTTGTATAATTATTTGGACCTAATTATTTTAATGTGGCCCTCCTATTGCTGCATCTAGTAAGGTACAAATAGTAAAATAGTCATACTTCCACCTTTTAAATATAATTATTTAATTTTAATTAATATGAAATTTAAGAAAGTGAAGAAAATTAATGAGTGATTTTAAATTAAAAATATAATAGAATATTATATAATTTTATGGTTTTAAATATGTCAGGTAAAAAGTTGAAATTAAAAAAATTATCAAAAAGAAAAAATGATATACCTTTTTAACCGACTAAACCAAAAAGTACTCTCTGTATTTCAATTTATTTGACCTACTTTCTTTTCGTAGTCTATTTAATTTTTTTTTTTTTTGTGTTTTTCAACAACTCTTTAATATCAACTTTTTATGTGACATATTTAGGATTACAAGATTAAAAGATATTTTAGTACAATTGTAATATTTTTATATTAAGATCATAAAATTCAAAAGTTCTCTTTATTTTTTTAAATTGTATTAAGTTCCAAATAAAAAATAGATCAAACGAATTGAAACAGATGTGTATATATTTTATGTAATGCATATTCAACTTGAGCCACCCATGACCCATAGTCAATCATATCTAAACTTTATAATATAATAATAAAGCATGTATATAAAGTTTTTGCTCCTTTGTTTGTGTGTGTAACTTGGAGAGAGAGAGATGGGTGAACAAACTTTGCATCTTCCATTATTTGAGACAAAGGAAGCTAAAGGAAAAACTATATACAAGTTATTTGCTTCAACAATATTTGTGGGTATTTGTTTAATATGGTTATACAGATTAATTAATATGCCAAGTAAAGGTGAATCTGGTAGATTGGCATGGATATGTATGTTCTTAGCTGAGCTTTGCTTTGGTTTCTACTGGATTATCACTCAGTCTGTTCGTTGGAATGTTATATATACTTATCCTTATAAGAACAGACTTTCACTCAGGTTTGACTTCTCTTCGTTGAAACTTATTAAGATTTCAACAAATATTACCATATTTTGAATTCAAAATTTTAGAAGTCTAATGAATTTAATTAATAATTATAGAGTTTGATGAATTCAATCGATTTTAAATTTCGAATATGTTTTTATAAGACTTAGATATATATACTTGGTGCTCTGTAATTGGCCTTTTACCTTTTAACTTCCCAAAGCTATTATTTGTTGAAGTAGTAAGATCTCCATTTGTTGATTTTCCAACTTCTGAGTTAAATATTTTTTAGTTCGTCTTCGAAGGTATCTATCACAACTTACTCCCACCGGCCCGTTCTATTTTATATAAGTTGGTTAGGCACGTAGTTTGAGAAAGAAATATTTTTTTTGAAATTTGTGGTCTAAAATAAGTGATAGATATTTGTGTGACTATAAAATCATTTCAGTAAAAGTAAAATGAGTATTTTAAAATTAGTGTTGTTTAAAATAAGTGATAGATATTTGTGTGACTATAAATCATTTCATTAAGAATAAAATGAGTATTTTAAAATTAGTTTTTTTACTTAATGTAAAAATGTGTTATTCTTTTTTATACTGAATAAAAAGAGAAGTAAGTCATATAAATTGAGATATGGGGAGTATTTGATTTGTCGGGTTGAAACTTTGTAGTAAATATTTTCTCTATCCGAATTGAAGTGTCTTACTTTCCTTTTAAGTTTGTATAAAAAAAATATCTCTTTCTATATTATTACGTTTTCCAATTCTAAGATTCTACATGACAAATTTAAAATCATGAGATTTAAAAGGCAGTACATATTTTTAATTAAGACTACAAAATTTCTTTTTATTTTTTAAAATCCATGCACAGTCAAATTAAAACACTTATACTGAAACGAGAGAGTACTAAGGGGTTGTTCGATAGCTTGTTGGGAAAAATATTATACATGTTAGATGTTGCATATATAAGTAATATAATTTTGATAATTGGTTAGGAGTTAGGACTATGTATAAAATTAATAATAGGGCGTTTTGTTTGAAATTTTGTAGATGATAGAAGATGGAATAGCAAAACCATTCATAACTTTGATTCATGTATTACTAATACCTGCATAACTATACCGACTCCTGACTTTGACTAGTTGTTTGCAGATACGAGGAGAATTTGCCAGACGTAGACATATTCGTTTGTACAGCAGATCCAATAATGGAGCCTCCAACAATGGTGATCAACACAATATTATCAGCCATGTCATATAACTATCCTACTCAAAAGTTGAGTGTTTACCTTTCTGATGATGGGGGTTCACAATATACATTTTATGCTCTTCTTGAAGCCTCTCAATTCTCTAAATATTGGATACCTTTCTGCAAGAGATTCAATGTGGAGCCTAGGTCCCCTGCTGCCTATTTTCAACATGATGCCTCCAATTTAAATGACAAAGTTTTTGCACAAGAATGGTTCAATATCAAGGTGAGAACTTGAGATTAAGAAGAGGTAACAAATAAGTCATGACTCAATCAGTGGCGGAGCCAAAATAATTTGACTAGGGGTTCAAAATAGTAAACACATGAACTAGTCGAAGGAAGTTTAATACTTTAGAGTTTTGACACGACAATTTGATGAGTCATTTCGAGTTCAAATTAACAAATGAGTCATATCTTAGTTCATCTAAACTGATGTGTAACTTTCTTCAGAAATTATATGAAGATATGAAAAGCAGGATTGAAGCCTCCATAGAAAATGGTAGCATTCCCAATGAAATTAAGGCTCAGCACAAAGGGTTCTCAGAATGGAACACTAAAGTTACAAAACAAGATCACCACTCAATTGTTCAGGTACATTATATATGCTATTGTTACTACAACAGTTATTAATTAACGTCGAAAATGAACAGAAAACAAAAAAGAGAGATGTAATTTGTATCTTTTCAGATTTTAATAGATGGAAGAGATCATAACATGGTCGACATGGATGGAAATCGACTGCCAACGCTTGTCTATATGTCACGAGAGAAAAAACCAAATTGGCCACATAACTTCAAGGCTGGATCAATGAACTCATTGGTAAATTAAGCTATGAAACTTATTATTAGTAATTTCTTATCTCGATCTTTTTAACAGTATAAATTTGTTTATGTGTGTAGATACGAGTTTCGTCACAAATAAGTAATGCACCTATCATTCTTAACTTGGATTGTGACATGTACTCGAACGATCCAGATGCAATAAGAGAATCATTGTGCTTCTTCATGGATGAAAAGCAAGGGTACAAGGTAGCCTATGTTCAGTATCCTCAACGTTACAATAATGCAACCAAAAATGATATTTATGGAAATGTAGCTCGAGTTACTCATGAGGTAAGTTGTAGAAATGATTCTTTGACAGCCCTCTTTTAACAATTTTTTTGTATATATAAGACAATTTATAAACTTCGAATCTCAACATGTAGATTGAACTTGCTGGTATGGGAGGTTATGGAGCAGCTTTGTACTGTGGCACAGGGTGTTTACACAGAAGGGAAAGTCTTTGTGGTCGAATATTCTCTGAGGATCAAACTTTTGAATGGAATAACAAGCTGCAAGAAAAATCCACCTATAAAACTGTGGAAGAATTAGAGGAAGCATCAAAAGTTGTTGCAAATTGTAGCTATGAAGAGGGGACTCAATGGGGAAAACAGGTACTAATTCCTAGATACCGTCAAAGGGTGTAGTGGGATGTTAAAACATTCATCCTGTTTTGATAGATGTTTTGAGTTCGAGCTCTGAGAACATATGTTTGATTTTTTTGTCCAGATGGGGCTGTTGTATGGATTTCCTGTGGAAGATATAATCACAGGATTAACAATCCAATGCAGAGGATGGAAATCAATATACTATAAGCCAAGTAAACCTGCTTTTTTAGGTGTTGCTCCAACAATCTTAGATGTTGCTCTTGTTCAACATAAGAGATGGTCAGAAGGCATGTTTCAGATTTTCATATCCAAATATTGTCCCTTCATATATGGCCATGGCAAAATCAAATTGGGTGCCCAAATGGGATATTGCATTTACCTTCTTTGGGCCCCTCTATCTGTTCCCACACTAACTTATGTGTTGGTTACTTCTCTTTCTCTGCTTCATGGCATCTCCTTATTTCCAGAGGTAATCAACTTACGTAACCATCTTATCTAAAAGCTTAAACTATACCTTTTTTCACAACCATCACCTGTTATTTACTTAATTATGTCTTCATCACTCATTATATTGCAGATGTCAAGTCTATGGTTCTTGCCTTTTGCGTATGTTTTCATCGCCAAGTTTGCATATTCCTTGGCTGAATCCATTAGCTGTGGTGACACACCTAAGTCATGGTGGAACTTGCAAAGAATGTTGTTGATTCGAAGGACAACTTCATACTTCTTCGCGTTCATAGATGCAGTGATTAAGCAATTAGGCTTCTCTCAGACAGCATTTACCCTCACGACAAAGGTAGTAGATGACAATGTACAGAGGAGATACGAGCAAGAGATGATGGAGTTTGGCAACTCATCTGCTATGTTCACAATCACAGCCACACTTGCATTGCTTAATCTAGTTAGTTTCATTTGGGGAATGAAGAAACTTATAATGGCTGCAACACTACAAGAAGTGGGAAATGTTGTGTCACATGTGATTCTATGTGGATTAATAGTTATAGTGAATGTGCCAGTGTATGAAGCACTCTTTCTCCGGAGTGATAAGGGTAGTTTTCCATCCTCCGTTCTGTTTAGGTCTGTCGTCCTAGTATCAATAGCATGTATGCTACCTATCTTTTAGATTGTAATAGGACATGACACTTGGGTTAATTTTAGTAGATTTAGAGACGTAGAAGAATAGATGAAGGTTGTTGATGAACCCTAAGAAGAATATCTGTTTAGGTCTGTCGTCCTAATGATGTTGTTATCTTGTGTACTGGATAATAGGACCCCTTGATCATTATGTATCCAACAATTCTCAAAGTTTCCTCCTTTTTTGGTTGTTGAAGAAACTGACTCATGGTTTAAGCACCAAATGAGATATCATAGTAAGATAAGAGGAGCTTTCGTATCAATCTTTGATAAGCATCTTGATGATCACTTTTTGTAGTAAAGTTTCTCAATACTTTGTTCTCCCCCTAAATCTTAAATTCCAGGTCTGCAGTTTCCTCCATGATAAGATCTCCATCATGTTGGTAAAAAGATTGTTCAGGAGCACTGCCTTGATATTCCAACTTCTCTGGTACATGATTTGTGTCAGTATGGAACTCTAGTTTGAAATTTGAATGGACTGTTGACAAAAAAACCATATCAGATATAACCTTTTTGAGTTTCAGCATATATAATTACACAAACAACAGACCTAGCTAGGCTTCAATTTGTCAGTTTCATGCACCTTTTTGGCAAAGCAAACACTCTTAAATGATGTAGAGAAGGGTTTCTGTTAATCACTTGGTAATCTATTGATTATATATACACTGCAGTTTGTGATAGAAAAAAAATAACTGGAGAACAGAAAATATAGAGTAAAACAGAGACAATAACTTGGCTTCTCAACTGACTTACACTGCTGCAGGAGTCTTTTTATAATGCAAAAATACAGCAACGGCTGAAGCCAAAAGAAAATACTTCACCAAAAAATTCTCCTAAAAACTAGATAACAGTCCACGTTTTAAAGTACTTCCTAAAGACTAGGACAAACATAACAGTAGGCATCTTATTTACTAACGTTACTTATTAAAAACTAACACCCTCCCTTAAACTGAAAGCTTTCAAGCTTCAGTTTAGAGTCAGCTTCTTGAACTCTTCCATAGTGCCGATACCCATCAACCTCCTGAGATTTTGAAAAAGCAGAAACTTTAGAGGTTTAGTGAAAATATCATCCAGCTGGTCTTCACTTCGGCAATATTTCAACTCTATCGTTCCTTCATCGTTGAGATCTCGCAGGAAATAATACTTCACATCAATGTGTTTGCTTCTTCCATGTAACACTGGATTTTTAGATAGCTTGATAGCAGAGTTGTTATCACAGAAAATTGTAGTTGCTCTTTCTTGTTTAAACTGCAGCTCTTCAAGAATTCTTCTCAACCAAACAGCTTGACAAGCACAAGCTGTAGCAGCAATAAATTCAGCCTCAGTACTTGATAAAACGACAATCTTTTACTTTCTGGAAGACCATGAAATAGCCCCTGTGCCCAGCATAAAAACATAACCTGATGTGCTCTTCCTGTCGTCCTGATCTCCTGCATAGTCACTATCAGCAAAATCAAGCAAACTTGATTTCTCACCCTGCTTATAGAACAAACCAAAATCCTTAGTTCCTTGTAAGTAGCGAAGGATTCTCTTGGCAGCTAGCAGGTGAATTTCGCCGGGGCTCTCCATATATCTACTTATAAGACTTACAGCATACATGATATCGGGCCTTGTGGCAGTAAGATACATCAAACTACCTACAATTTGCCTAAACAGTGTGCTGTCTACAACATCTCCTCTTCCAACTTTGTTTAGCTTCAGGCCGAACTCAACGGGAGTATTGACTGGATTGCAATTCTTCATCTTGAATCGGTCTAAAATTTCCCGTACATATTTCTTTTGGGAAACAAATATACCATCATCAGATTGCACTACTTCTAAACCAAGAAAATAATGCATCTTACCTAGATCAGACATCTCAAATTCATCCATCATGGACTTTTTAAAATGAGAAAACATGGCATTATCATTCCCGGTAAATATAAGATCATCAACATATAAACACACAATGAGCATTTTTCCTGGTTCTTCAAATTTAACAAAAAGAGAGTGCTCATATGGACATTTCAGGAAACTAACCTTTTGAAAGTAAGTCTCGATGCGACTACACCAAGCTCGCGGAGCTTGTTTTAGTCCGTAAAGAGCCTTTTTCAACTTGTATACCTTATGCTCAGATCCAATTTTAATATAACCAGAAGGTTGCTCGATAAATACCTCTTCCTCCAGGTATCCATGTAGGAAAGCCGATTTAACATCCAACTGAAAGATAGGCCACAAATTTTGTGCCGCCAATGCAATTACCATTCTGATGGTGTCATGCCTTGCAACTGGTGCAAAAACTTCTGTGTAGTCCACTCCATGCTCTTGCTTGTATCCCTTAGCCACCAATCGCGCCTTATACTTGTCAATTTCACCATTTTCCTTGAGTTTCGTCTTATAGACCCACTTGACACCTATGATTTTGTGCCCCTTGGGAAGATCTGATAACTCCCAAGTGCCATTTCTTTCAATAGAATCAATCTCATCATCCATGGCTTTACGCCATTTCTCCTCTTTGACAGCATTCTCAAAAGTTGTAGGATCGCAGTCTGCAAACAATGCAAAATGGGAAGCATCTTCATTAACATCAATCCCTGTTACTTTAAAATCCATCATCCACGCGGGCCTTCTGCGAGCACGACGAAGAGGCTGATCAGCTGTATCAGTCTCTTCCAAAATTGATGCTGAACTTTCAGCAGCTGCACGAGGAGAAGTTTCAGAAATATCGGGTACAACTGATGGTGAAGTTTCAGCAACTTCTTGAGTAGAAGTTTCAAAAATTTCGGGTACCGCAACTACTTCTTCGACTTCATTATTAATTAGGATTGGAGTAGACTGCTGCATATTCCAATCCCAAGTTCTTTCTTCATCAAAAACGACATCTCTGCTGGTCACAGCCTTTTTTGTCAATGGATTGAACAACTTGTACGCCTTGGATGCCTCGCTAACTCCAAGAAAAACACATTTCTCTCCTCTATTATCAAGTTTCTTCCTTTTTGCTTCTGGAACATGTGCATAAGCAATGGAACCAAAAACTTTGAAGTGGTCTACTGCCGGTTTCCTCCCGCTCCAAGCTTCCTTAGGTGTCATATCTCGAAGAGCAAAAGTGGGACTTCTGTTCAAGATGTGAATGCTCCAATTCACTGCTTCTGGCCAAAATTCCTTTGGAACTCTTCCTCGAGCCAGCAAGGTACGAACCATATTGAGAATGGTTCTATTCTTCCTTTCCGCCACACCGTTTTGCTGCGGTGTATATGCTGTTGTGAGCTGTTTTCGAATGCTGCGAGTCTCACAAAATTCATCAAATACCTTAGAGCAATATTCTCCTCCGCAATCTGTCCGAAGGTTCTTAATGGACTTTCCAGTTTCATTCTCCACACGAGCTTTGAAGCTTTTAAATACATTAAAAGCCTCTAACTTTTCTTGCAGAATATACACCCAAGTCTTCCTGGAATAATCATCAATAAAGGTAATAAAATACCTTTTACCACCATTCGAAATTGGGTTGATTGGGCCACAAATATCTGAATGCAGCAGCTCCAAAACACTACTCGCTCTCCACGACTTCCCTTTTGGAAATTGAGAACGATGTTGTTTGCCAACAACACATTCTTCACAAACTTGAGAAGGAGTGATGATTTCTGGAAGACCTATCACCATCTTTTTCTGTTGGAGAGTTCTTAATCCACCAAAACCCAAGTGACCATATCTAAAATGCCACAACCATGAAGGATTTCTCACTTCTGCCATATAGAAAGATTGAACATTTTCAATCTTCAAAGGAAACAACCTGTTTTGACTTATTTTTACAAAAGCAATAACTCCTTTGGAGGGATCAGAAATTTCACATGCATCATTTCTTAAGGTGATTACATACCCTTTTTTTAACAGTTGACCGGCACTTAACAAATTGCTTTTCAAAGCTGGAACATAGAACACATTGGATATGATTTCCACACACCCATTTTTGGTTCTAAAATTGATATTACCCTTTCCCATCACATTCACAGTTGAAAAAGATCACCAAAACTAACTGTCGACCGAAAATTTTCATTTAAAACAGTAAAAGAAGACTTACTTCCAGTCATGTGGTTACTGCAGCCAGTATCTACATACCAAATAAGTTGTTTCTCGGACTCGTTTCCAGCATGAACCGCCATTAACAAGGTTTCTCCTTCCTTATTCTCAGCAAAAATTGACTTTTCTTCTTTCTCATTAGGCAGCCTTGTACGACATTCAGAACGATAATGACCAAATTTATGGCAACGATAACATTCTACCTTGGATTTGTCAAAATCTCTCCCTCCGCCTTTGTCGCAGTCATTATTGGCTCTGAAATTTCGATTGCTATCTTTGCTACCTTCATCTCTATATCCTCGATCTTCTTTTCCTCTTCCTCTACCTCTACCCCTTCCCCTAAAATTTGAGAAACGAGTATTAGTAGAAGCCTTCAAAGCCTGCTCTTCGGAAGATGAATTGCAGTTCATCTTTTGCTCATGTACCAACAAGGAACTTGGCAATTCGTCAAGCGATAACTCATCTATATCTTTTGACTCCTCAATGAAGCAAACGACATAGTCATACTTCGGTGTCAGGGAGCGCAATATATTTTCCACGATTGTGACATCGGTCATCTTTTCACCATGAAATCGCATTTTGTTGCTTATCTCCATTGTTTTAGCACAATAACTCATTACAGACTCTCCTTCCTTCATCTGCAAAGTTTCGAAATCCCTTCTCAAGGCTTGAAGCTGTGCGCGCTTCACTCTAGTAGTGCCTTGATATTTTTTCTTCATCGAATCCCAAATATCCTTAGAAGTTTCTTTGCAAAGAATAGTCTCTAGGATGGGACGATCGATAGCCTGAAAGAGATAATTCTTTGCCTTCAAATCTTTCAACTTTCTTGCTTCGAACTCTACCTTTTGAGCATTCGTTAAGGTTTCACCTTCCGCCGGAGCTCCGATTCCGTCCTCGATAATTGGCCAATACTCCTTTGACCGCAAGAAATTCTCCATTAGCATACTCCAATGGTCATAGTGA